GTCGGACGCTTAACCGACTGCGCCACCCAGGCGCCCCTCTCAATGATTTTTAGTAAATTTATGAAGTTGTGCAGTCATCACAATCCAGTTTTAGAACATTGCCTAGATGAAATTAAATATTAATGTCATCAATATCAAGTCATAGATCCAGTTGGGATCCAATTTAAAGTTTATTTCACTTGAGCAGTGTTGGCATCTTGTTTTTATATTGTGGGTTTTTTCCTTACATTCCATCAGATGGTCCTCTAGTTTATTCCTGAATAGACTTAGTAAAGGTGGGTTGGTGTAACTGCCATGGGAGCAGACCATATCTTCCCTCACTACATTATGGTTACACTTGTGTTATCTTAAAAGCATGTGCTGGGATCCCTGGCCTTATTACGCTGTGGAGAAATGGCTTCTTGAATATTAAAAGATAGAAATGTAAATAAAGCAATACTCAGAAGAGACTGAAATCAACATTTTCACTCTGAATAAATCAATTAAAAAATTGAGTATTCTTGCAGTGTGACATGTGAGAACCCACTTTTTGTTAGGCATTTACTTACCCATCTTTGCTTTTAAGTAATTTGCTGCAAAATAGCCCAAGCAGTAACTGTAGAAACATTAAAAGTATCTTTAAAAAAGAAAACTCCTGTATAGATTTGAAAATTTTTGGATTATGAAATTTTAGAAAATGAATATATCGTTTTGAAATAGCATTAATCAGTGTGACCTTTTTGCTACCCGCCCTCATGCCTCACATTTCTTGTCCCCTCCCCTGCTTGAGTTTTCTGCAGAGAACTCCCACCATTTTACATGTTGGTTATTTTACTTGTTCAATCTCTGTGTCCCTTTTCCTGTCCATTATTAGAATATATCCTGAAGGTAGTGATTTCTAATTTCTTTATGTTGTAGAGTGCCTTAGTGCCTAGAACAATGTCTAACATACACACACACACACACACACACACACACACACCCACACCCCCCCCGTAGGTGCCCCCAAAAAGCTGGAATTAATGAACAAACGTAGTAGTCAACCAACTTTCATGAGAATCTGATGAAAGCAAAGAACCCTCTTTTTCTTTTACATGCCTCCAATTTCTGCAGAAAAGTAAATACATGAAAAAGTAATTATATGAAAAGGGTTGCTTCATGCTTTTAGGCACAGTTCATTCCTGCTACCATATTTAAGCACATTTCTGTAAGAAAATCTGGACTCCGTGTGCACTATTGTTTGGATAACAGCAAAGCCTCTAGCATGAGTAGGTGGTAGACATTAATAGATAACCTTTATTATGTAGAATCCTAAGAGTTACTTGCATTTGAAGAACATAACCTTCTCAAGCTAATAACATCAGTAAAAAGACTTCAGAGTGTCACAGAGCCTGTAGATCAAAAGGAAATGGAAATTCAGGAAGCCAGGTCGTTCTCTCCATCTCTGGAGGCCCACATGCTCTCTTGTCTCTTCCAGGCCATCTGCATCTTCTCCCCTTTCACAGACCAGCATTCATGGTTTCAGAGGGCACATGGTCCCCCCCCCCCCGCCAGCAGCCCTAGGTTTATGGGGCATTCTAGTTCAGGAGCCCCATAGAGATTGACTAGAATCCTCGAGTCTCATTTCTGAATTTGTATAACAGTTTTCTAATCTAGCCTTATGTCAGGTATAAAATTCTTGTCCAGTGAGCTTAGCTGGGGTGGGTTTGCAGAGCCTCCCGCCCTCTTAGCCGAGACTCTGCTAACAGTCTTTGTTAAAGGCCACAGGCAGAGTATGTAGATCAGCTAAGACAGTTGGTGAAGCAGCCAGAAGCCGGGCCTGAATGAGTCCCACGGAATGAAGACCCTACCGTGGTGGTGAGGGAAGGGGTCTGAAGACTGTCCTAATAAAGTGTCTTCGTTCTTTGTCAGCTGAAATTGTTAGAAATTTTGTTTAAGATCATGTTTTTGTTTTAGGTGTACCAACAGTACCATTATTGCCACCACAAGTAAGCCAGTCCCTCACTTCTGTGCCACCAATGAATCCAGCTACTACATTACCAGGTAAGCAGCAGGAGACTGGAGATGTATGTAGTGATAATAGCATTAGTAATATTGTGCACCTTAAAAAACAGTGGGAAAAACCGTATACCTCTGTGGTGACTTTTTATGTCTTTTCATCTCATTTTATCTTTGCTATAACTTTGTGATAAATGAGAGTAAGTAGCAGTGAGCTGTCAGTCACCAGCTGTTAACTTCTGAGCCCCAGGCTCCTTGTCCTCAGCCAGCTATGCCTCCAGTGCAGCGTGAGGCAGGAAGAAGGAATATGCAAAAGTTCTGTGCTGAAAGAGAGCATTCCATATTAGCTTCTTTAGGAGCTTTAACATGAAGTTAGATTTGTGTTTATTTCTTACTGTTCCCAGTGAAGACCAAGTTTCTTTACCCATCAGATAACAATCTTATTTCAGGGATAACGGTGTTATTAGCAAACACTGTTATTTCAGGGATCAAATATACTTGCATCATGAGAGCCTTTAATTGTATGACTGAAGATGTCATTGCACACACCTATTTAGTGATTAACCAAGTGTGTACACAGACACACACACAGAGAGTGGTAAAGAAATGTGGTACAAATGTTGACATGTGGGGAATTTGAGTGAAAGGTGTGTGTGTATATATATATAATATATATATATAAAGTATATATATATTATAGTTATATAAACTACTTTTGCAACTGTAAATCTGAAATTATTTCAGAAAAAAATTAAAAAGCCAGAAGGATTGTGAACCTCAGCCATTCAAAGAGAAATTTAATTCCATTTACTACCGTACTTGCTGACATAAATCAGCTCCTTCCCCGCGACACTCAGGCCATCATCGTTCTTGCTCTTGGGTTTGGAGGTACACGAGTGTCTTTTAAGCCTTACCTACTTAGCCATCTAATCACTTAGGTACAGAAAGACATTTCACATAGTGAGCTTTGTTGTTTTGTGAATGTTATGATACAGAACTGCCCCACAGTAAGTGGACTTCTGGTGTTCTCAATTTGAAGTGGGTAGTATTTTTTTCAAAACATGAGGATTGAATGTTTTCCCCGGAGGAAGTGGTTTTATCATTTGTTCTCTGCCTTCTCTTTAGGTCTGATGCCTTTACCAGCAGGACTACCTAACCTGCCCACCCTCCCCAACCTCAACCTCCCTACACCGCACGTCATGCCAGGCGTCAGCTTACCAGAACTGGTGAACGCGGGTATGTGGCCCATCTTGCCTTCCTAGGACTCTGTCTAAATAAAAAGCTTTTACCCAGGAAAGCAGATCCTCTATTGCAGTTTTTTCTGGAAAGGGCAGATCAGTTGAACAAATTTCAGCTGCTTCAAATAAATACTATTTTTTTTGTGTAAAAAGCTTAAAAAAGAGGAAGAATATTTTTGTGATTCTCCTGTACTTGGCCGCCTCTCTTCCATTTTCCTCTCCTTGCACCCTGACAGCCCAGATACCAGAAAGGCCAGTTGTAGAAATAAAGAACAGCAGTGTGGTGCTGCTTTGAGCGAACTGTACGGAAGGTGTGCATTCACCCAGCCCAAGTGAATGGACTCCTCGTGTTTGGGTAGCTGCCACCAGCAGTGTTTGTTTTGAGTAGCCAAGACCAGAAACATGGGCTGTGAAACTGTCACCCTTGCTCAGCTGGCTGGGTTTGTTGTTATTTGATACGTATTCTCTGTTACTAATAGATGTTTTTATGATAAAAACTGAGACTTTAGCTACACATAGTTAAGCTGGCAGATACTCCCAAGTATTTACGCTCAGATTTTATGCCCTGATGAAAATGAAGCAGCAGAGTGGCCCACAAGTCTGTTCTTCCAGTTAATGATTACCCAGCTGTCCTTCAACTTTGAGAGGACCGCATGTCAAGGCAACTACTAGTTGCTCATTTCAGGAGCTAGGCCCCTTGGTGATGTCAGGGAGTGTGCACGGTCGTGTTTCTGTCTCGGTCGTAGCTGTCCCCGTTGTGCCGTCCCCATCTGTATGTATTCATCACCTGTCCTCATGGACGCATTTACTTTCCGCCCAGTAGTTTAAAAAAAAAAAAAGGAAGACTAGTAAACCCTCATGTTTACCCTGTCTTACCACTCCTTTTGTTTTTTCTATTGTGCCCTGTATTCTTGGCTTCATCCGCCCTTTCCTCGACTTAACAGATAGACCCTAAGAGCATTGAGGTTTTCACCAGCCCGGTGGTTGCTCTGAATATATCGTACCTTCTGCCGTTCCTTTGTTTCTTAAAACAGCAACGCTCTTTCCTTCATTCTCCATTTTGAAATCCTCACGTTGAGCCCATCAAGTGTAATGGTTACCAGTCAATCAGAGGGCTTGAACAGAGGCTGAGTGCTTACGGTGAGGTGAGGCCAAGGGAGGAGGCTACAGGACAAGCGCCTCCCTCCCCAGGCTGGCCCGTCTCCTCTTCCTGTTTCTGTCCAGAGGGCCCCTCTGACTCAGCTGGGGGCTTGCCTGACTGAAGAGGAGTTACGTCCAACACTAGTGTGGCCGCACTGCTTGCCGGGTGGGCTTCTGCCTGTCCTAACGGGGAGAATCATTTCTTCTCTGAACTGGCTGAGTCACATGGAGGTTGTGGAGTCTGGAAGGCGGGAACCTTTCCTTCTGGCCAGCTGGTCTTGGATTGGATATTTAACCCTAACTGTCCTGGCCTCCACCTGAGGATAAGCAGAAGTTGCGATTTGTGGTGTCTTTGCTTGGCTTCAGTTTCCTTAATGAAATGCAAATAAAAACAGTCATGTGATGATGACAGCTGCTCTTTCAGTGCCGGGAGGATGTATGATCTGTGTCGTTTTTGTCCTAGGTTTGCCACCTCTTCCTTCCTTGCCTCCCCGAAACTTACCTGGCATTGCACCTCTCCCCATGCCATCCGAGTTCCTCCCGTCATTCCCTTTGGTTCCAGAGGTGTCTTCTGCAGCGAGCTCAGGGGAGCTGTTACCCTCCCTCGCACCCACCGGGAGCCCACCCTCTGACCCTGTCACGACCACTGCAAAGGCAGACGCTGCCTCCGCACCCACCGCGGATGTGACGCCCCCCACTCCCAAGGCCCCCACCACTGTTGAGGACAGAGTCTGCGAATCCAGCCCAGCCGGCGAGAAGCCTGCTTCTGCAGTTACGGATGCAAGTGCCTCCGAGTCACCTTAACTTTGAACCGGTCTTCGGAATTGGTGTGGTGGGCTTTGTCTAACCACAGGAGCGTGTCTGGAAATGCAAACTCTCATTAATTTCATACTAGTTTGTACCGTATCTGTAGGCATCCTGTAAATAATTCTAAGGGGAAAACTAAGGAAGAGGACGTGGGCTTGTATCCTGCCAAGTCGGGGTGGGGCTCATAGGCTGGGAGGGAAAGGTCAGAAAGTGCTTGTATTTTAAAAACAACCAAAAAGAATTTGAGTGGCTTGCTGCCAGGTTTCCACTGCCATTCGTGGGGGTATACATCTTCGGGAAAGGTGACAGGGCATCCACGAGGCTCCCTGTCCCCCTGCTGCTCCTCCTGTAAGAAAATGAAATATTTTATGCCTAGTACTCACATGCAACATTTCTTGTATTTTGTAAGTCGTTTTTGAGAATGCCGACCACCTCACTTAAATCGTGAAAGGAACAGATATTTTACTTTTGGTTTCTGTGAGTCAATCTCTAAAGGTTTACACGAAAATTCCAACTAAAGATGTTTGTTAAAGTTACACAGTGTGCACTATGAATTGGACATCTTTTTATTCAGCCTATTCACAGATCTTTGTTTAGAGCTCTCACAATTACTCAGACAACATTTTGTAACTGCTGCTGTTGCTTTATACGTCCACCATCAAATGGCATTTAAAAAGAAATAAAGGAAATGCTGCACAGTTTTAAACCAGAAGGTGGCACTTTGTGGCTACTTCTAATATTATAGCTATACTGGACAAGCATAGATTCAGCAATAAATTACAGTAATTTTATTTTTCTTCTTGTGCATTTAAATGACAACTCCTAATTGCCATGTATGCACTGGTTACTCTCAAGTATGTCACACATCTTTAATGTAATTTTTCATGTCTTTTGTTGGCTCTCTCCCAAGTTTTCTAAGAGATGGTAAGTTAAGTGGAATTGATTTATTGAATGAAATTAAATGCATATTATATCTGTTTTTTAAATAAGACAAAAGAGGTTCATCAGTTATTGACCTGGTAGTAGCATGAATGTTGCTAAGGGCCCAGCACGTGTAATTGAGCTGCGACTGCTCAGCCGGAAGCTAGACTTGCCAGCGCCAACCTAGTGCCTCTAACAGGGGGCCCAGCACCAGCCAATTTTTAGGATATATCCACTACTGAACCAGGTTTGTACTTCACGCTGAATGATAAAAGAAGGCTCCAGCTCTGAGCACTAGCTTCTTCTGTTTGCATTGTAAATATAATTCTAGAATATTTCAGTTAGCAATCCTATTTTTTTTAACAAGAGCTTGTAACTGGTAGGAAAAATATTCACAAGCATACTTAAATGTTATATGATTTTTTACTTTCCAGTATAGGAAGAGGTGAGCAAGTTGTTACTACTTTCTAAAAGATGCTCATATTTTTTAAAATGTCAAGGAGATACCTTAGTGGAAAGCAAGTAAGTTTTATGCTTTAAAAGTGATTAAAAAACAAAAACAGCAGCTCTTCCAATGCAGTGATTCTTAACTCTTGTGAGGTCACAGTTCTCATTTGAGAATGATGACAGCCCTGGACCGTCTTCCCAGAAAAAGGAACATAAGCATATATAAAACACTAAGCTCTGGAGAGAGAGGGATTCTTAGCACTCGCTTGGAAGCTAGGCACAGAGTTGGTCTATGTTGGCTCATTGGATCTTCATGAGGTGCGAAACTCGTATTTGAGATACTCCCTGCTTCCTTCAGGAAAACCAGATTCAGTGTTTATGGAAGTAGGGATCCTGTACTGGGTCCAGAGACACAGATATAAAAGATACGTGTCCCTGCCAGGAAGCCACTTACTGTGGCTGCGTAGCGAAGAGAGCTTGGGGTGTGGGGTGTGGGGTGTGTCGGGCCTCAGGGCAGTCCTGAAGTGTTCTAACCATGGAGATGAGCTCTCTGGCCAGCCCTTGGTGGAAGGATCACATGCACTCAGAATTACCTTTGAACTCCCTATATCACTCAGTGTTCCCAAGTTCACACAAGAGAGACACGATTGAGGCAGTGATGGTGGAGGATGTTTGGAATAAACTCCGTTATCACAAATATTCTGAAAATAATGGAGGCTTAAACAAAAAAGTTTTTCTCCCGAATTCAATAGAGATAGTCTGGTAGAGGCAGGATTGGTCCGTTAACAACGTCAGAGACCTCAGCCCCTATCTGTAGTTCTGGAGAGTGTTCTTTCTCCATTTGCATGGTCATCCCGTGGACCCGGATGGCAGGTGGAGCCCCAGCCGGAAGAAGAGAAAGGTACATCCCCCTTTGCGTTGGGGATAATTCAGAGAAGTGTCACACAGCCCTGCGGTTTGCATCCTCCTGGCCAGTGTGGAGTTACATGGCCACTTCTTCCTGAAGGGGAAGCAAAGAAGTGAAGTCTTTATCCTGCCCTGTGCCCAGCTATTACTGAGGAGGAAGAAGAGGAACTAGTGAGGCCAGATGAGCAGCCCTGCTGCCCCCCTGTGGGACTGGACTGAGCCCTTGGTGTGGCCCGTGTGCAGCACCACCGTTGGCACTAAGATTCGGTGGAGCCAGAAGAGGCAGTCCGGTGAGGGTGCTGGGGAGATGGGCGGGAAGGTTCCTGAGATGACATTTGACGTGAAGAGTTACTCAGGCAAAGGAGGAGGCAGAAACCTAGGTTAGGGAGAGTCTGAAATCTTTGAGGAATGGCCAGGAGTAGAGTGCACAGGGGGCCCCGAGTGCCAGGCCGGGGAGTTAGGGCTTTATCTTAAAAATAGGGGTCCCTGAAGGGGTACAAGCTCAGATCTGCATTTGAGAAAGCTTGTCTAGCGGCCGGGAGGCTGGAGCGTCTGCAGCAGCCCCTTCAGGGTGGATGGAAGAAATTGACTTGCTGCTGTCACCCAGAGGCATCTTTGGTAGCTAAGACCGTGAGGAGGATTTCCCCTTTCCCATTTGGACTTTGTTCCTGTTTTATCCTTAGTTCATGATTAAGCACACTTGCCAAGAACAGCCACGTTTAGCTCATTTGCCTGACCATTGAAAAAGGAAATGCAATGAAAGACACCTTTCTTATTTGTGAGACACCAGTTAAGGTTCAGGGATGGCTCTGCCTTGGCCTGAAGGTGAAGGCCTTCCCTTTATCAGACCACCTGGTAAGCATAGCATTTCAACCTCAGCTGCAATTAGAATCATCTCAATTAGAATATGGATTCCTGGGCCCTTGGAGTTTTGAAAAGCCTCCCAGAGGATGAGAGCCGCTAAACACATTTCTCTTCCACACCGAACCTGTTCCCACTCTGGCAGTCCAGAGCTTGGGGAGGTAATAAGACAACACAAAAATATCTTTACTAAGATATTTTAGCACTTAGCAAAACGCACATGTTAAGGGACTCGCTTACTGCTGGTATTTTTTGCATTAGACCTAGGAAGAAGAGCCTCCTGTATTGCTAACCAACATATTCCTTTATAGGCTTCTTGCATATGAGCGAATTTGACTAAATAGAAGAGTGGGAGATTAACAGCCAAGGCCAATTTTTCCAACACCAGAACCACAGGACAGTGGAAGAGTGCGTGGGACCACCCTCAGACTGGTAGCATCCTGGGCTCTGGTTTGGGGGGCAGTGTAAGGAATGCACCATTTACGGGGACAGAGCTTCTATCTGTTACAGAGCAGCTGAGGGCTGGATGCAGAAAAAGCTGCCTCTCCAGGGAGTTCCGTGAATGTGGGTGCCCTCTGCCCACTTCACCAGTTCAAACGTAACATGAGAAAGCCATCCACCAGTGGGGTTGGGCCCTCGGACTTTCAGTGTTAGAGCTGAGGTTTCACAGTATTTCCTGACAACAGAAACAGGACCCTGGTCCGCGAAGGCCACTGGGACTCAGGTACCTGCTCGCTGCTGGTGGGGTGAATAGGGGTGCTTGGCTGACTCGATCAGTAGAGCGTGCGACTCTTAATCTGGTAGTGAGATCAAGCCCCACGTTGGGTGCAGAGATTACTTAAAAAAATGAATGAACTCAGTTTTCTTAAAAAAAAAAAAAAAGTTACTGAGCCAGCCCTTTGCAGGACAATCTGCCAGGTGAACAAGAAGTAGCAAACTGGCTCCCCCCCCCCCCCCCCCCCCCCGATCCCCACAGACATGGTTCCTTTGAACTGCCCTGTATATATTAAAATGTGAATTAATTGCCAACTTTAAAAATCAGAAAGTTTCACATAAATCCAGATTTCTGGTTTCTCAAAAAGTCCCAAGATCTGGGATTTTTCAGTCCAGCAAGGAAACAATCCCCCTCCACGCCACCCCACCATGAGCCTAAATCTTTGAGTTTGCCAGGGTCCTCACCTGGCCCGCAGGCATCTGAATTTGCAGTGTCTCTCAAGTATTCTCTTGGAAAGGAGCTTCAAAAAGGTAGATGGCCCAGAGCCCGGGGGATCCAGGATCAGAAAACAAGATTGTTCACGGGCTTAATTATTTTGAATCCATGAACCATGGTAGAATGGACACTAAGGTTTACAAAATGTTAAGCAGTCCCTTAAACTATAATAAACTTGGGGGAGAAATAGGTCTGGACGATGATTGGGACAGTGACAGGGATTCGGGTTTCACCAGCCTCTTCCTGAAGCCAATTCTGGGACCCCAAAGCTGTTAGTTATTTACCTAACAACCAACTCTTGGAATTCATCACCAGTTCTCTTTTTTGGGTATCAAGGAGTGGGTTATAAGAGGTCCTGAATTCCTGAATGGCCTTCTTGCCCTCCACTCTAAATGGCCTCGAGTCCTGGTTCAAGGAAAGTGGCTGACATTTGCCCAGCTCTGACCAAGCTGGTCTGGCTTAAGACTGGAGCCAATAAGTCTGCCTGAGGTTATGGGGGAAGCATGTTTGAGGAGCCCTTGAACTTAGGGTGGCTGGTGGTAGAGTGATGGGAACTTCTTTCTTCTCTTACACACTTGAGTATTGTCACAATCTTTTAAAAACACATTTGAATGCCCTTTTAATTAACAAAAACAACAGGATCGTTTCCACG